CGGGAGCCCGCGCCATCTTAGGTCGCAGCCACACCACGCGGCCCCGCCATTTTTGCTTTTGCAGCCGTCTTTGGTTGCGGCTCCCGCAGCTCTCCACAGGCGAAGGCGCAGGGCACAGGGCACGGGGCACAGGGTGAGGGTGCGGGGTGCAGGGCGCGGGGTGCAGGGCGAGGGCGCGGGGTGCAGGGTGAGGGCACGAGGCGCAGGGTGAGGGCGCAGGGTGCAGGGCGTGGGGTGCAGGGCATGGGGTGCAGGGCGAGGGCGTGGGGTGCAGGGCAAGGGCGTGGGGCGTAGGGTGCAGAGCAAGGAACATAGGGCGAGGGCACAGGGCAAGGGGCGCAGGGCGAGGGCGCAGGGTGCAGGGCAAGGGGCGCAGGGCGAGGGCACGGGGCGCAGGGCGAGGGCACGGGGTGCAGGGCAAGGGCGCGGGGTGCAGGATGAGGGCACGAGGCGCAGGGTGAGGGCGCGGGGTGCAGGGCAAGGGCGCAGGGTGCAGGATGAGGACACGAGGCGCGGGGCGCAGGGCGAGGGCGCAGGGTGCGGGGCAAGGGCGCGGGGTGCAGGATGAGGGCATGAGGCGCAGGGCGAGGGCGCAGGGTGCAGGGCAAGGGCGCGGGGTGCAGGATGAGGGCACGAGGCGCGGGGTGCAGGGTGAGGGCGCGGGGTGCAGGGCGTGGGGTGCAGGGCATGGGGTGCAGGGCGAGGGCGTGGGGTGCAGGGCGAGGGCGCAGGGTGCAGGGTGAGGGCGAGGACGCAGGGCAAGGGCACAGGGTGCAGGGTGCGTGGTGCAGGGCAAGGGTGCAGGGCGAGGGCGCGGGGCACAGGGCGAGGGCGCGGGGTACAGGGTGAGGGCGAGGACACAGGGCAAAGGTGCGGGGTGCAGGGCGCGTGGTGCAAGGCGAGGGTGCAGGGCGAGGGCTCGGGGTGCAGGGTGAGGGCGCGGGGTGCAGGATGAGGGCACGAGGCGCAGGGTGAGGGCACGGGGTGCAGGGCAAGGGCGTGGGGTGCAGGATGAGGGCACGAGGTGCAGGGTGAGGGCGCGGGGTGCAGGGCGAGGGCGCGGGGTGCAGGGCCCGGGGTGCAGGGCGCGGGGTGCAGGGCGAATGTCGCGACCGCCTCGACCCGCAAGGATGACGCGACAACAGGTCCTTCTTTCAGACGGTTTATTCAGGACCTTATTTACAGCTTCTTTTCTCCTACTTCTCTCCTGCCCGCTTCTTCCTGTTTCTCCT